GGAAATTGCATGCAGGGCCACGAATGTAGGGTTGAGACAGGGGTGCAGGAGGGAGTGCGGGGTGTGGAACGGGATGAGGTGTGCAGGAAGGGCCTCAGGGCAAGGGGTTGGGGCAGAGGAGGAGTGCGGGGTGTACAAGGGGGCTCAGGGCAGGGGGTTGGGGTGCAGGAGGGGGTGCGGGATGGGGCTCAGGTTAGGAGAGGTGTGGAGTGCGGGAGGGGGCTCAGGGCAGGTGGTTGGGGTGCAGGAAGGTTGCGGGGTGCGGCAGGGGGCTCAGGGCAGGGGGCTGGGGTGCAGGAGGGGTGTGGCAAGGGGCTCAGGGCAGGGGGTTGGGGTGCAGGAGGGGTGTGGCAGGGGGCTCAGGGCACGGGTGCAGGAGGGTTTCGGGGTGCGGGCTCCGGCCAGGCACTGTTTACCTGGAGCGGCTCCGGGGTGGCAGTGGTGCCACGCCGCTAAGGCAGGCTCCCTGCCCACCCTGGCCCCGTGCCGCTCCCAGAAGCGGCTGGCACCAAGTCCCTGCGGCGCCTGGGGTTGGGGGCGGAGGGTGCAGGGGAGAGGGCTCCACGCGCTGCCTTCACCTGTGGTTTCCACACCTGAAGCTCCCATTGGCTGGGGACAGGGAACCGCGGTCAATGGGAGCTTCAGGGCAGCGCGTGGAGCCCTCTGCTCCCCCTCCCCCAGGGGCCGCAGGGACGTGGTGCCGGCTGCTTCCGGGTGTGGCATGAGGCCCGCGGCATCACAGGGGTGGCAATCCTGTGGGCCGGATCCAAAGCCCTGAGGGGCTGAATCCGGCCCGCGGGCCATAGTTTGCCCATCCCTGTTTTAGTATGTTCTACTCCCAACACAGAACTTTTCTGTCAGTCTCTATCGCCACTCTACCCCAGGAACCTTATATGGATTGACATTTGTACCATTTGTCAACCTTTTAATTTAGGATTTTGAACCCTTATCCGCTCGCTGATGTTTCTCAGTCAGATGCAGAGAAATACTAGGACTCCTGTACACAACTTAGGTCAGCAGAAAGTTGGGCAGATTCTATCTCCAAAGCATGTAGACTCTTGGTCCCCAATGAGATAGAAGAAAATAGAATAGCGGTGGGAGGAGTCACAGAATGTAAAAGGATGGAAACTGGAAAGTCAGGAGGAATAACACCAAGGAGACAGAACCCTCAACTTGATCTTCCACATTAAGACATGCCCCCACCACCACCCAAACACTCCTGTGTTCTCCCAACCTGAGCACCTGCTCCCAAAAATCCTCTTGAGCACCCTCCTTTGCTTTCATCATCTTTTCCTCTCTATTAAAAGGCTGAAAGGACCCTGGCGCCCATCAACCCTGCTCACTGTTTTGCTATCCTGACTGCTTCAGAGGAACATGATACCTTCTTAGCACAGCCTGATCCTATTGCTTCTCCAGTGCACCCAGGCCCTGACAAATATAAGGAAGCAAGAGAACAGAATTCACCTCTCTTGCATAGGAGGGCAATGTTCTAACCAGACACAAAAACAAGCAGACAGTCCCCATAATTCAAATACCCAAATTCTTAAAGATTGTTTTAAGTATTTCAGTTAATGAAAGCGTTGTGTGCATTGTTCTCAGTCACCAGATTTGGGGCTCCTGTGGTGTGCTTTGAATGCTGTTATGGAATTTCTATGAAGTTTTGTACAGATCAACAGGCACTAAAACAACCTAATTCAAAACTCCTTCTGTCTTACAATACCAGCTGGAAAATGGTGGAATAGGACCATAGAGAGAAAGATTTTATTTATATATACACCTCTACCCTGATATAACACGACCCAATATAACACAACTTCGGATATAACGCGGTAAAGCAGCGCTCCGGGGGGGGGGGGGCGCAGGGCTGCACGCTACGGCGGATCAAAGCAAGTTCGATATAACGCGGCTTCACCTATAACGCGGTAAGATTTTTTGGCTCCCGAGGACAGCGTTATATCGGGGTAGAGGTGTGAGAGAGAGAGTGTGAGTGTGTGTGTGTGTGTATATATATATATATATATATATAAATAAACAGCCCAGCAAACTCTTGCTAACTAAATTCTACAGATTCTGGCAAAAAATCCCAAAGTAGTTCTGATGTGAGGGGTGTTGCCCCAATTTCATATCACAGATTGGGCAAAAAGGTTTTAAACACTTAAGTAAGCTAACCTTTTATATATACACCCATAGAGAATACTTTAGGAAATTTACTTTACTATCAGAAAGCATAGCTAATATTATACACAAACCTTGGGCCTATGAAATTCAACATCATATTTTGCTATTAACTAGGTATTACAATAAAACATTTTTGCACCATTATAATGTTTTTAAAATAAATTTTCATGTGACCCAGAAACAGTATGTGTTGTTTTTTATTTCTTTGAAAAGCAACTGGTAAAAAAAGCCCTTCAAACTATTACAGCCAGAAATCAGATTACAATTAAAACAGGTCCAACACCGGGTATAAAAAGTCTTGACCAAATCCCTTCCCCTTTATATTAAGCCAGTAGTTCCCAAATTGTGGCCCATGAAACCCTCATAAACCCATCGCATGCTGGGTAAAATCACCAGAGCAAGAGACCACTGCAGGACTTAAGAGGTTGGGAGGGCATGGCTGATGTATGGCTACATATTTATACCTAGGGCTTGTCTACGCATAAAATACTGCAGCTACACTGCTCTAGCACTTCATCACCTATACCAACGGGAAGGGTTCTCCCATCAGCGTAGGTTATCCATCTCCCTGAGAAACAATAGCTAGGTCAACAGAAGAATTCTTCCATTGACCTCATGCTGTCTACACTGGGGGCTAGGTCTGCATAACTACACCACTCAGGGGTGTGGATTTTACACACCCCTACACAATGTAGCTGGGTCCACCTAACTTTTTAGAGTAGCCCAGACTTTAGGTCGACAGAAGATTTCTAGCGACCTAGTGCTGTCTACACTGGGGGTTAGGTTGGCATAATCACGTCTCTCAAGGGTGCAGATTTTTCATGCCATTGAAACATGCACCTATGCTAATGTAAGTTGCCAGTGGAAGTTAGCTCTATGTCAGTGGTTCCCAAACTGGGGTTCATGAACCCCTGGGGGTTCGCAAACTGTTGCAGGGGGTTCTCGGGAAAAAAATCTCTAATGGCGGACAGAGCTGTCCCTAGGGACCCTCGGCAGCACAGGCCCCTGGACTTCCAAGAGCTAAGCAGATCAAAGCAGGCAGATCTATCACACTGAGGAGATTGAAACTTCAAGACTCCTTATAAGAAATGGAAAGGGAGATGGATATTTTTTGCTGTTTTTAAAATTAAATAGGCAGCTAATATTGTTTTTTAAAATTATAATGAAGAACAAGTTTAAGCTTTGTTGTAACATGCGCTGTTTGTCTGGACTGCTCAAGACCTGAATGCTTGTGTAGGAGGAACTCTGAGTTGGCTTCTTAAATACCTTCATGCTGTTTCACATCTGATACTCCTGGGTGAAACATAGAAGCCTTGTCTTATAACAGGCTTATTCAAAGTGATACAAGCTACAAAAGTGATATCTTGGAAGAATGTTGCCGTTTTCATAATGTAATAAAAATACTGTCATGATAAATAATAATTAATAATAAATATTGTGCAATAAGCATGTCATAGCAACAAATTTTATATTTCCAAGATCAGTGCTTTTATAATTTATACGCCGGTAAAGGAGAAAAATCCCTGGAAATATTTTTTTAGGAGGGGGTTCACGAGACCTGACATTTTAGTGAAAGGGTTTCACAGGTTGTTGAAGTTTGGGAACCACTGCTCTATGTCCACATGGGAGGAGTTGTGTGGGGGGGGAGGGAGGGGAAAGGGGTTGGTCTAGTTAATGGATTGCCTGTGATCTCAGCAGGAGTGGCGCCAGGATTTTTGCTGCCCTAGGTGGCAGCGCTCCTCCCCTGAGCATTCAGGGGGCCTGGGGTCTTCGGCGGCTGGGGTCCTTCCGCTCCGCATCTTCAGGGCACTTTGGCGGCGGGTCCTGGAGCGAGTGAAGGACCCGCCGCCGAATTTCCGCCAAAGATCTGGAGCGGAAGGACCCCCCGGCGCCGAATTTCCGCCGAGGGCGGCAAAATGCCGCCCCCCAAATCCTGCTGCCCATGGCGACTGGCTAGGGTCGCCTAGTGGAAGTGCCGGCCCTGAATCTCAGGGTAGTTGACACCTGTGCAAAGGGCCTCTGGAGATTTCACAAATGTATGGCGAGTCCCAGCCACCTGGAGTTCAGACAGTCACTTTTAACTCCAGATAAAAGTCTCTAATGAAGACCAAAGTGCGAGAGATCCTTGCTCTCTCACAAAATGCTTTGCACCACGACTCTAACGCCCACAGCACTAATCACAAGACAAGCGTGGCCCTGGCCTCCTCACCCCAGAACGCTGCCCAGCCCGCGTTCCCCAAAGGCAGCTGCGAGTGCAACGAGTATGGAACAGCCCTCAGGCTGCTGGATGCCCACACGCGGCGGGAGCCAGCCCCCGTTTCACTAGGGGGGAGCAGGCCGGCGACCAGCAGCTCCAGGGCGGGAGGGGATTAGCAACACCCCTCCTGGGGGTGAGCAGCCAGTGTGAAAAATCGGGATCGCGGCGGGGGGTAAAAGGCGCCTATACGGAAAAAAAACCACGAACATCGGGACTGACCCTCCCCCCCCGGCATCTTAGCAACCACCCCTGGGCGCCCGAGGCGGGAAGGGAGGAGCACGAGGAGCCCCGAACTCCAAGCGCGTGCACGGCCTCTCCCCCTCGCGGCCTGGCTCGTGCTCGCTGGGGCCGGGGAAACGGACGCCGCGTGCAGTCCCACTGCCCAGGCCCGCGATGAGTCTCACGCCAAAGGCCCAGCCGGGGCCCTCGCGACTCCCCCGCTCCCCCCCGGCAAATGAGCCTTAGCGACCGTTATAGCCACCTCCCGCCAAAGGCGCCTCATTGCTTCTCCCTCCCACTTTCCCCCCGAGAGGCGCCTTCCCAAAGGGGCCGCCCTGTCTCTTACTCGGGCTCCCGCAGCACAGACTCCACCGCGGCGGCCATTTTGAACTTCCAAACTCCTTCGCTGCTGCTGGTGAGACGGGGCCGCGGCGCATGCGCGATGGGGCGCCAAGGGTCGAGGCGAGGAAACGCACCAGCTCGGCGACCACCGGAAACGTACCTCACCCTCCAGCGAGGGAGTAAGTTACTTCCGGTGGATCTTTTTCTAGGGAGCGTCTTTAAAGAGCCACCCCCAGGCCCAGCAGCGCAATCCCAGAACAAGTGGTTGGGGAAGGGAGTCTTAGCCAGTCCCCGAGGCTCAAGCGATCTGTACGCGGCGCCGTGACACTGGCAGCTGCATGGGGCGGGCGCACCCAGCGTTTGAGAGGTGGGTGGATGATGGTGGCGGAGGGGACAGGAAATTTGGGGTGATTATAGAACAAAGGGGAGCGGGTGAAAGGCAGGTGCTCAGGACTTCTTGGGATGTGTGGCCCCTAGATGTCACCCCAAATAAGAAATGGGATACTAAACTCTGAAAACCGGGGTACAACCAAAAACTACCGAGGTTGCCTGAATTTGTGGACATATGGAGTTAATTTAAGTAAAAGAGAAACTGCCAGGGAGACTAGGGCCAAAGTACAGACATTGTCGGGGCCGGCTCCAGGCACCAGCCCAGCAAGCAGGTGCTTGGGGCAGCCATCGGAGAGGGGTGGCACGACCGCTGTCGCCGAATTGCTGCCGAAGACTGAAGTGGTGGCGGTACAGATCGCGAATGCGGCTTATTTTTTAATTTTTTTTTTGATGCTTGGGGCGGCAAAAACCCTGGAGCCGGTCCTGGACATTGTGGCTATTTTGTTGAATTATGTTTTATAAAACTTAATAGCTCATAAACAAGATTTCATCGTTTATTGTTTTAATGTCAGAGCAGGCTTAGATGAGCATCTGCAGCCCTGATACTCAAGGCATTTGCAGCCTTGCCCTAGTGTATTAGAAGAAGACAATGAGGCTATGTCAACACTAGCACTTTTGTTGATATAACTTATGTAACTCAGAGGTGTGAAAAAAACGCACTGAGTTACACAAACAGAAGTGCCAGTGTGGACAGCGCTATGTCAGTGTGACACGCTCTCCTGCTGACATAGCTACCATGGCTTGTTGGAGGTGGTTTAATTATGTCGATGGCCATGGGAGAGCTCTTTCCCATCGACCTAGAGTGGCTACACAAGCGATCTTACAGCAATGCAGCTGCATCTGTACAGCTGTGCCACTGTAAACTCTCTAGTGTAGATATGGCCCTAAACTGAGTAGGAAGTCTTGCAAGATTGTCATGAAAATGTAGCAGCTAGTGATAATATTTGGGGGTGGGAATTATATTTTGCAGACATTTTTTAAAATAAATTATTCTGGATGGGAAAGGGAGACTTTTGTCAGCTGGAAAACAAAAATGAACCCCAGGTGTCTGTTTTCATTTTCAAAATGGGAAGAAATGCAGTAGAGAAACAGCATAAGCACAGAAAATTAAACTAGATTTAAAAAATGGTTTCAGTTGTGATAATCTCAGGTGCTAATAATGCTAGTACTTACTACTTTGCTATTATTACCTCTTATTCATTATAGGTACTAGATAATACTTAGCCCTGCCTTGAGTGCAGGGGGATGGACTAGACTAGACGGCCTCTTGTGGTCCGTTCCAGTGCTAGGATTATATGATTATGGCCTAGTTATTTCTTAGTCCTGCCTCAGTGCAGGGGACTGGACTAAATGACTTATTGAGGTCCCTTCCAGTCCTGCACGTCGATGATTATGTTCTGAAAGACTAACCAAGAACTGTGCTAAGCACGGCACAGAGTACTAGATGATAATATCGCGTTTTAATACCTGGTTCAAAGAGCTCATATGCAACCATAAATTACAACGTGTTGGATTATAAAGATGAAGAACCTGAAGCACAGAGGTTTAAATGACCGAGCTAAGCTCACACAGGGATGGGAATGGGGAGGCGCTCGCGGACCTCGAGCTGTCGCTGGTGGTTAAAGCGTTGAGATTTGGATTTCAAACGAGTCCTTCCGCGGCGCTCTTGGGTGCGTCACTTTACGCACAGTCCCTTAGAGTGGGGCAGCCTGGTGTTATGGAGGGAGGAGGCGGGAGGGCTGAGCGCGCGCTCTAACACTGCCCCCTGAGTTCCGGGCCGGAAGCCGGAAAGCTAGCGGAGAGGGGCGTGTCTGAGCCGCGCAGGCCCGGAAACAGGGTGAGACTAACTCAGCAACATAGTCAGTGACCCCTGCAGAGCGGAATGGAACCTTCCTCCCTTCCCTTCACGCGCTGCTGACCCGGGCAGTGAGGGAGCGGCACGTGTTTTCAGTAGAGTCAGTCCAAGCGGCGGCGGCGGGGGGAGGGAGGATGAGGCGCAGCCGTTGTAGCTGTAGGTGGTGCTTTGAGGTGACCGTGTGCCCTTGGCAAAAGCGTGGGGGGAAGCTGCAGGAAAAAGGAAGAGCAGGGAGGGGGGTCGAGCTGCCAAACAGGCGCAAGAGGGACCCGCCACTGATTGTCTTCCTCTGGCACTAGCCCCTGCTGCTACTACCTCCCTGGTTTTGCTGTTGAATCACTGTAGTAGGTACGGTCAGCTGGTTCTTCGCCATTCCCTGCGTAAGGGGAATTCACAGCGCCTGAAAACAAAATATAAGTAGAGCCCTGCAGTGGATACAAAATTTGTATCTGCAGCTGATCCGTGAGGGGGAGGGATAGCTCAGTGGTTTGGCCTGCTAAACCCAGGGTTGTGAGTTCAATCCTTGAGGGGGCCATTTGGGGCAAAAATCTGTCTGGGGATTGGTCCTGCTTTGAGCAGGGGGTTGGACTAGATCACCTCCTAAGGTCCCTTCTAGCCCTAATATTTTATGATTCTGTGATCTGCAAACATCACTGGATATAAAGTGGATATCTGCAGATTTTAGGGTGACCAGATGTCCCGATTTTATAGGGACAGTCCTGATTTTTGGGTCTTTTGCTTATATAGGCTCCTATTACCCCCTACCCCGTCCCGATTTTTCACACTTGCTGTCTGGTCACCCTAGCAGATTTGTAGGGCTCTAAATATAAGGAGTGATCCTGCATTGGTGGGAGGAGGGGAAGGTATGCAGAGGGATGTACTACAGATGATCAGACCTAGGGCTTCCAGCTGCTGTGATGCATTCTGGATTATTTTATTGTTTATTTTAAAAGAATTGGGGAGGTTAGCAGACTAAAGATTTATATTAAAAGGCACACCCCTTTGTCAGTAGTGGATGTTCTGTATATATGTCAACTCTATAGATTTGTGAACGAATGTATGCTGAGATGTTTGTATCTTAATGATGCATTTTTCTATGGAAAAGGCTTTGCCATGGGATTCATAAATGTGTATTCATTTTGGGACTTGCATAACAACAAAAATCCACTAGAGGAGAAAGTAGCAAATGGATTTGGAATTGTTTTTTTAAACATAAATAGTTTTCTAAAATCTCAAGTTTGAAGTTACAGAATAAATGTTTCATCTGTAATATTAACAATTTACTGAAGTAAAAAATGAACTGCTTTGTATGAGGCATTTAGGTTTAATTTTTCTACTGGCAAAACTTCTGTTGTCTTCCAAGAGGCTATGATTTCACCTTTGAATTTTATATACACTGATGCAATTTAGATTATAATCTGACCCTATGTCCTCTTGTTGTAACAGCTGAGAAAAGGCAACCATAATAATTGAAGTATAAATATACCACAGCAGAGTATGCATCAATCTCTACTTGGGAAAATGTAAATAAGCACTTTATGTATATCTTGCTTAGTATTACTGAAGATTTAGAATAAATTATCTTCTTCTGGAGAAGATTGCTGACATACCAGTTTTGCAGATTATAGAACAGCTACTAACTGCTTTATTTATGTTTCTCTTATAGACTTGTGTACTTGCACTTTCTGAAGATGAATGAATTTAAATATAAATACCAATACATTCCTTCCACAAACCTACATTTACCTGAGGAGATCACAACATCCCGATTGTATGCCTCTGCGACAGAGGGCTTTGAAGCCCAAATTGCCAGCCTGGTGGAAATGTTTTTGGTTGAAGTGTACAGGTGCAAACTTTGTCAGTTCACAAGCAGTATCAAGAATAAAATCAGAACTCACATGACTAACATTCACAAACAAGGTAGAATTTGCCACATTTCTGAATGCCTTGAAATGGGCCCAGATCAAGATGAAAATGACTCATACAGCATAGGGGATGAAATCTGCCAAGAAAACAAAGAAAATGAAGAAAACCTTGCAAAGATGTCATTTCTGTATCAGATGCTTCATAACATGAGCCCTGAATGCTGTGATGTGAGCCTGGGGAATCATAGTGATAATCCTAGTGTCTCTCATTCTAGTAAGGTAAACACACTGTTTGAAGAAGAAGCAGGTCAGTTTCAGCTTGAGGAGCCCTGCTCTGTGGTGCCTAATCCCCTCTCATATTCCACAGACCCTAATGAATCTAAAAGAAGCAAAGATGAGGAGGAAGCCCAATCTGAACATCTCATGTCACTTGGCCTGTGTCGCATTTCCAGCATTAAAACGCAAACCTTAGAAGCAGAAGTGAAAACAACTAAAGTTGAAGTCAAACAAGAAAATAGTAAAAGTCAGAAGAAGGTCAGACCTGAACACAGTGGCTTAGCTCAGCCTTTGAAAGGTATTTGCACCTTAAAACCAAGTGCTGAAAGAATACAATACTGCAACATATGTGACCAAGAACTGAAGTCAAAGGGTGCTTATAAAATCCATGTTAGATGTCATGATGGGGACGAGGGCTTCAAATGTGTTTATTGCAATTGCTGCATGACTGAATGGAACTTAATGGAAAATCATTTGAAAACACACAAGCCAGTAAAAGAGAGCTACCAGTGTCTGATTTGCAAGAGAGTTTTTATGTCGCCAGGTGCATGGAAAATGCACAGGAACAACCATCATGGAAAACATAATCTCTTTCAATGCACAAAGTGTTCATCTCTTTATGAAACTGAGCAAGTGAGAAATCTGCACGTATCTTGTCATTATGGTGACTTGTTTAAATGTCTGCACTGTGA